TCTTTCTTTCTTTCTTTCCTTCCTTCCTTCTTTCTTTCCTTCTTTCTTTCCTTCTTTCTTTCCTTCTTTCTTTCCTTCTTTCTTTCCTTCTTTCTCCTCCCCTCCCCTCCCCTCCCTTCTCCTCTCCTCTCCTCCTTTTTTTTTTTCCAGACAAGTTCTGGCTGAGTTGCTGAGGCTGCCTTTGAACTTGTGATTATTGGACCTCAGCCTCCCAAGTAGTTGGAATTACAGATAGGCACCACTGTGCCCTCCTCACGTGTTACAGAGTTAGACATGCACAGCTCTTGTGTCTAATGATGTGCCTGGGTACTGGATCCTCTAAGGAAAAAACTAGATCTTGGGGCCAGACAGTTAAATCAGATGATTGGATGACAGAGCTGGCATAAAAGTGCTGAGAGGCTTCTAGGCCCCATGGGAGGGGAACCTTTTCCCAGTATGAAAAGGAACGAGGGCTTTGGCTATATTCAGTGTGTTAAATGGTTGTAGAAAGAAAGTTTTTTGTGAAATACTTAGTGTAGTTGATTCAGTCACCCAGGAAGTACAGGTGCATGTATAGACTCCAAAGAAAGGAAAGGACTTTGTGTATTAAAACACAAGTACAAACACATACACAAAAGTAGCAATGTACGCTCATCAAATACTTCTACCATCCCTATCAGTCTGTCTCCATCTCTTAAACATGTTCCAAATACTTTGTAAAGTTCTAGGATACTAATGGATGTTAATAATATTAAAAGAAACGATTGGTCCATAGAAAATCAGATAACTAATGGATGTTAATAGTGTTAATCGAAATGATAGGTCCATAGAAAATCAGGTAACTAATGGATGTTAATTATGTTAACAGAAATGGTCGGTCCGTAGAAAAGCAGATACAGGTGTGCAAGAAGTATGGAGCTATATTACACAGCTTGTCTCAGGAGAATGAAAATTAACACTAATTAACAAAAGTGAGTGAAGGATGTTGATAGAACATTTGACATAGGTTAAATATGAGTCTGGAGTTAATCTTAGGAGTCCCGCTCTCCTTTTTTTTCAAGCAAATGCTAGAAATTCCTGTCTTTCAGGAAACATGTGTGGTGCTTGGGATCTCATGCACACCTGCTACTTGGGTCAGTAGTACCCTTTATTATTAATAATAGAATGCACCAGACTGTCACATGAACCTGTAATGAGCATAGACTTTATCCTTTGGAGGATGTGCAGTGACCTGCCAAATTTGGATTTTTGGTAGTTTACTAATACATTGAATGTGGGCAGAGCTGTTCAGAGACTGTATCAAGTATCCAGGGAAGGGATGTATTGAGGTTGTGAACCACGGCAAAGCCCGTGAGGATGGGGAAGTATATTAGTCAGGCCAGTTACTGTTGTGGTTTATATCCAGATGCCCCCCAAGAGCCTCATATGCTCATCCGCAGGCCTTTGGAAGAGGATTAGACCACAAGGACGCTGTAGCTAAATGTGCTGTTAGACGGTGGGGCCTGGGTGGAAGAGGCTAGTAGGTGGGAGGTTGACCTCCTAGGGTGTATTTCACTCTCTGGTTCTTGCCTTCCCAGTCTGCTTCCTGGCTGCTATGATCAAGGAGCTCACTTCTCCCACTCTTCCATGCTGTTTCTTCTTGGGAGCCCGCTCACCTGGGACTGAAATGTGAGCCAAAATGGACCTCTCCTCCTTCAAATTGCCTGTACCAGGTGTTTTGTCCCAGTGAAGAGGAAAGGGATTAAGACCGCTGCGATAACAGTGCCGCAGACTGTGTAGTTTACACAACAGAAAGGTGTTTCTCACCCTTCTGGAGGCCTGCGAGCTAGCTGAGTGGTTCTTGGTTAGGGCCCTTTTCCATTCCACTGCCTTATGGTGGCTTTTCCCAGCAGTGGGGTTGGGAGGAAAAGAGGAAGCTCTTCCTGGTGTCTCTTAGAGGGAGCTAATCCTCTGTGTCAGGGTTGCAGCCTTACAACCTCATTTAACCTTAATTACTTCCTGGAACCCTGTCTCCAAACATAGATCAGATTAGGGCTTCAGCATGCAAAGGGGGGGGAGGGGCAGAGATCCCTCCACTGCAAGGAATAAAAGCAGTGGCTTGTCCGCCTCATTGAATATCCTTGGTGTGACGTGGGTGGGCTTGGGAATCCCCTCAGGTCTTTGGGATTGGGGGTGCTGGGTGGGTTATGGTCCCTGGAAGTTTCTTGATAGGTGCATTTTGTGGAAATTGTTTTTGTTCCAATAAAGTTTTTGTAAAAACTGATAAGGAAGACTATGACTTTTTATAATTTATTCTACCCCAAAGGGAAGTATTTCTAATCCTCTTAAATTATTGACCAGTTGATCCTGTTGTTTCTAAAGGGGGTAAATTTTACATCCACTCATGTTACTATTTGTAATAGTGATTTCCACTTTACAGTGTGCCCAAAAAATGGACAATACAAAATAAGGCGGTTTGAATTTGATGCTGAGGTTAACTTTTTATTTACTTTATAACATTTTGATATCTTGCAGGGATACAGAAGTACCTTACTGACTGGCATTTTCAGCCCTTCTTCTCCTTTATACTTTAGCTGCTCTGGAGATCTGGAGAAGACAGGTGTTTTCCTTCTGATACTGTGCTAAGTTTTCAGTGTTTGTTGGTGTTTTTAAATAAGGCAATAGCTTATGAACAAATGGCGTGTAACGGAAGAGTCCAAGTCGTGCCTTGTGGAGAGCTTTTTCAGTGTGTTTTCCAGAAATAATCCATCGAAGCTCCCTCAGATAAATATACTTATTACTTGTGTTACACATATTCTGTACTTTTCTCTCTTTCTTAAATGTGTATTATTTTTGTTAGCACATGTTTGCAGTACATTTGATTACATTTACCGTGAGGAGTTGGTACATGTGCACAACATATCTTAATTCTTTTTACTTTCTTTTTCTCTCCCCTCCCTTCCCCTTTCCTTTATCTACTGGCCCCCTTCCCATTTGCAAAAGATATATCTCCCTGTTTCCTATTATGTGTCTTTTATTTTGCTCTTGAAATTATTCATACTTGGGGTTTCTCATGTAAGAGGGACCATGTGATACTTAAGCTTGTGGGCCCAATTTATTTAACTTAGCCTTCTGGTCTTTTTGGTTTTTTTTTCTTTGTTTGTTTGTTTTTCTTCCGGTACCAGGAATCGAACTCATGACCTTGCGCTTGCCAGGCAGGCGCTGTGCTGCTGAACTAAATCCCCAGACCCTGGGCTTTTTATTGAAGGATGATATATAGAAATTTACATATATGCATTTTCATAAACTGAACACACCCACGTAACCAGCCCTGAGATAAATGGACTCTGTTTTAAAATCTGGTTACGTTGTTTAGGAGAAAAGACTCTGAATCTGGGCCAGTGAGGGGGCCTCCTCGGGGACAAAATGTAGATACACTCCTTGAGGCTCAACTCAGCCTGCTGAAAGTGTAATGTGTATTCTTCCCTGTCTGTACCTCACTGCCAAACCAAAGCATGGTGTGGGTTTTCTCGACCTCCAACCACATATTCTCCTAGAGACCAGTGTCCCGTCCTTGTCTCAAGGCTGGAATGTTTATGCGTCACGGGGGTACCTGTCAGTATAGGGGAGGTGTGGAACACTTCCTGGGATAACTTTACTCATTCCTGTTTGTACAAGAAGGAAGACGCTTTTGGCGACTGCTAAGAACAGAGGAAAAACTCCTAGACCTTAACCCACTTCTATAGGAATAAAAAGCTTGCCCTTTTCTGGGTTAACTGGCCAGCATGATTTTTTTCTGTTTCTCTTTAGCTTTTGTTCTTCTCAAGATGAAGTTCTTTCTGGGTCTCTTCCTTCTCCATTAAAACTTTGCCTGCATAAACGTGTGCTTCCTGGCTGGACTTCCATCTCTATTGACATCAAATCAGAAATCCCATGTCTGGTATCAAAACTGCTGTGTACATTGGAGGAAAATGTGACCTTTGAACTTTTACCTTTTACTTTCATATTAGCTTCTTGTTATCTAATGTATTTAAAAATTGACTCTTCAACTAATCTTACTAATATTGTTTAAATATATGACTACTTGTATTGTTGAAATGAAAATTACTGACTGAGAAATATGCACAACAGAGTCTCAAACATATCAGTGTTTTCTGAGGCTATTGTTTAACAGGCCCAACCTATGGATATTTAATTTTAATTCTAATCCCAGTGCCTGACTTGGGTACTATTTGATTAGAGCTCAGACAATGAGAAGTTACCTATTAGCTTGTAAGTTTTTGTCCTGTAGAAAGATATCTCCAGTGGTATCATTTTGTTGCCCTAAAGAACATTAACCAGTTTAAGAAGACTCTTACATAGCTAACTTATTCTAATGCTTTGTAAAACAAAGTCTTTGTGACAGACGCAGGTGCTCTTGGAACCAGCCTTACCATTTTACTGATTACCTTATCAGTTAATGGGATGAATAAAGTGTTTAACACATGTTCATTCTGTATTGGTGAGAGTATATTTTTTAATATTTTGAAAATTATAGTTTGATACTGCCTGAGTATTTCTGTTGTGTACCTTCAAGTTATCTCTAGAAATTGACTTCCTGGGGTGTGCAAAGAACATGCCAGTTCTACACTCAGTGAGTGAAAATTGTTGTCCTAATTACTGTTGTGATTTTTTTTCAGGGAAAATGTATATAAAACAAGGTTTTACTAATTAAAGTGTCCTGTACTGGAGGTATAGCTTAATGGAAGAGTGCATGCTTAGCATTTCAAAATCTGGGTTCAGTGCCTTAGAACACACCCATATCTATCTATCTATCTATCTATATATCCACACACACACATATATATGTATATATATTATATATTTTTAAAAATTCAATTTAATTTTTATTTTTTCCAGGTTTAAGCACGTGAAACATTCTTTGTGGAAAAAATAACATTTTAAGAAGATAACCTTCTGAGTGGTAAAGGGAAAACCAGTAGAGAAGTACACCTTCTTTTGTATAAGTCTCATTGTGCTGCTTTTTATAACTTAGCTTAGTAATGAAGCCACCATTATGTCCTCAGTCAGTGAAGTAAATATTGATATCAGAGATTTCTTAATGAGCATTAATTTGGAGCAGTACCTCTTACATTTTCAAGAGTTTGGCTTTTATACTGTGAAGGACTGTGGAGGAATAAATGATAGTGTGCTACATGAAATTGGAATATCACCTACAGGACACCGTAGGAGGATACTAAAAAAATTACAGATGATCTTGTCAAACATGCAAGAAATCCCAATCTATGCAAATGTTCATAAAACAAAGAATGAAAACACTTCGAAGGATCGCCATGCTCCGTCTTCTGATAGGAACACCTGCATAGAACTTTCTGATTCTGGAAGTGTTCAGACGCCTAGCTCGACACAGCTGGAGACAGTTGAAAAAACTCGAGATCAGAATGATGTTCATGTGGAAAAGAGCCAATCTTTTCAATCAGGTGATAAGTTATCTCTTTCCGAACATGACTTTCCCATTTCAGAAGAACTACACCTGAATTTGGATTCTCATGATTCATTATCTGGTAAGACAGAATCTTTGGTGATAAAGAAGACTATGGATGGTACAGTTAGAGAACACCCAACAGAAAAAGTTGATTTGGTATCAGAAAACTTCAGCCTACTTCCTAATGCAGACCCTGAATGTCTTTTCTCCCTGGATTGTTCAGCATCAGAAGCACAGTCTAGAAGTGGAACTAATGGCTTACTAGAAAGTTCACTACCATCCCCATTGTTTCAGTTTCAAGGAGAAATGGTTGTAAATGATTTGTATGTTCCGTCATCACCAGTCCTGTCACCTATGAGAAGTCGTAGCAAGCTGGTTTCCAGGCCATCTCGATCTTTTCTGCTGAGACATCGGCCTGTTCCAGACATTCCAGGTGCAACAAAAGGGATTTCAGGGAGGTAAGAAATTTTACAAATAAGATATAAGTACTCAACTTGGAGTCATTTAATTATTTTTCAGTATTTCTTTCTAAATTTGACATACATGTATGTGTGTGTGTGTGTATATTTATATATATATATATATATATATATATATATATATAAAATGT